CTTGTGCCTGGCATGCTCTCCCTTCTCACCTCTACCTTTTGGAATCTCTAGTTCCCTTCAAACCTTGCTCAAGTGCTCACTCCTATATGTAGTGTTTGATCCTAACATGCACTCCCACCCCCCGCCCTGGCCAATGTCAGCGCTCTTCCTTTGTGAAATTACTTTTTAATTAGCATTTGGAGGCAGATAGAGTGCTGGAATTAGAGACAGACCTGAGTTCATATCCAGCCACAGAAACTTACTGGCTGTGGGCAAGCAACAAAGCAAAACAAACAAAAAAAAAAGCCACCTCTGTCTGCCTCAGTTCCTCATCTGTAAAATGGGGATAACAGTACCTACCTCTCATCAGTACTGTGAGAATCAAATAAAGTAACATTTGTAAAGCACTTTGTAAACCTCAAAATGCCTTATATGTTTGTTAGCATATTGGTATTCATTTTGTATTGATTTATCTTTACGCATTAAAGGCTTTTCCCCTGGGTTTCCCCACAACTTAAGGATTTAAACTCCTTAAGGCAAAAGACTGCAAGGTTTTTGCTTTTGTATTCTCCAGCACTTAGTAAAGTGCCTGGCACACAGTCCCAATTTTTTAAAATAAATGCTGGTTGAACAGACTGGAAAAGAACTGAGTAGAATGGAGTTGAGTAGAATAGACTGGAAAAGCTGGGAACCGAATAGGATAAACAGGATGTGATGTGCTGTAATACAATAAGACAGGACAGAATAGAGTAGGATAGGGTAGGGTAGGGTAGGGTAGGGTAGGATACAATAGAATAGAGTAAAATAGGATAGGATAGGGTAGAGTAGGATAGGGTAGGATAGGGTAAGAGACTAGGATAGGATAGGATAGGATAGGATAGGATAGGATAGGATAGGATAGGATAGGATAGGATAGGATAGGATAGCACAGGATAAGATAGGATAGGATAGCACAGGATAGGATAGGGGAGGAGAGAGAAGGGAAGGATAAGTTAGGTTAGGAAGATAGGCTAGAGTAGGATAGGCTAGGGTAAGATGTAATCAACTAGAAAAGAATTTAAAGAGAGCAATAGAACAGAACAGGGCAGCTTTGAACCACAGAAGGTAGCTACTTGCTGAAGATCAACCATGATTTATTGGGGCTTCATTCCCAGGCAGCTCTGGTCTCTAAGGAAAAGGTGGAGAAAGTAATGTGGAGAGTGAAAGATAGAGGGAAAGAGGCAGCTGGCTCCTTCACACACCTTGGAGCAAGGTGGGTTTTTAATGTTGCCCAAGCAGCCCACTGTATGGGGTGGGCTCAATCATGAAAGGAGGGGGTCCTTTTCAACTTGAAATCACTTTGGTTTTCAATTGATAAAGATAAGGAAGGTCCTTTCCAGTGTAGGTATGGGCACTCAGGTGAAGTACACAGTAGAACCTTGAGCTGATGTCAGGGTACAAACAAGGCACTGATCCCATCCGGTTCTAAGCCCTTGTCTCTAGTACCCAACTCCCCAACGGGGCAGCTGAAATTGCTTCCAATTGAAGTATAGAAATATTCATGAAAAAGCCTCTGCTCTAGGGATTAGTGCTTAATTCCACCCCCTACTTTGAGGCCATGCCTAATGTACCCTCAAAATGCCCTCATATCTCTACACAAACTTGCAAAGCCCCCAGCCCATCCCTCTACATGATATTTGAGAACCTGGTAATTTCCAAAGCTTAGAGGTCAGGAGACTGGATTTCCCCCTCCCCAACAAAAAGTCACTTCCCATTTTCTTGTCTTCTGGAAGCAGAATCCCTGGTCCTGGCTTTCGACATATAACAAAATAACAATAAGAACAATACTAGTTAACAATTATGTGGCACTTTAAGATTTTCTGAGCATTTTACAAATATTAACTCCTTTAACCCTCATAACTCTGGGAGGTAGGTGCTATTATTCTCCTCATTTTGCAGATGAGGAACCTGAGACAGATAGAGGTGACTTGCCCAGGTTATATAGTACTTTAAAGTTTTCAAAATACTTTGCGCACAGCATCTCATTGAAGCCTCACAACAGTACAGTAGGGACAAAACACACACACACACACACACACACACACACACACACACACACACACACACACACACACACCCCAGATTTTATTTCATTGGCATTAGGAACTCCTGATGAGGAAATCACCCTCTTCTTAATAAGATGTAGCCTTAGAGAGTAGAGCCAGGGTGCTCACTGGCAAGTTAAGGGACATGTGGAGGCTTACCCATGAAGGCAGCCACTGTGTGAAGAGGTGAGGTTTAAACCCAGGTCTTTTGAACTCTAGCCCTGCTTTCTGACTACTTTGTCACATTGCATCTACACATAGCATTATCCCTGTTTGACAGATGAGGAAACTGAGACTCATAAAGGTAAAGTGATTTGTCCATATTTACACAATTAATAAGTGGCAAGGCAAAGATTTGAATTATGGGGTGATGGTAGCAGTGGTGGTGGTGGCAGTAGTAGTAGAAGTAGGAGGAGGAGGAGGAGGAATGGTGGTCGTAGTAGTGGTAGTAATGGTAGTATGGTGGTGGTGGTGGTGGTAGTAGTAGTAGTAGTAGTAGTAATAGCTAGCATTTATATGGCACCTACTGTGTGTCAGGCACTATGCTAAGTGCTTTATCTCATTTGATCCTCAAAATAACCCTGTGAGGTAGGTGTTATAATCCCCATTTGACAGATAGGAACCTGAGGCAAATAGAGGTTAAGTGACTTGCCTGAGGTCACTCAGATAGTAAAGGGCTGGAGGCCTCATACAACTACTTAAGAGAAATGAGAGGGGCGGTTTCCAGAGCTGCCTTTGACACATATTGGTTGTGTGATTTGGGCAAATCTCTTACCTTTCTAAGCCTCTTATTGCCTCATCCTGACATTATTTGCCCCATAGGTCATTGGGAAGATCAGATGAAATTATGCATGTAAAGGGATTTTAAACCTGAAAGTATCATTTCAGTTCCAAATTCTCTCTCCCTCCTCCCTCTCCCCATCTATTAAGAAGGCAAGAAATACAATACTCATTATACATATGAAGTCATTCAAAACATATTTTCACATTAACTACATTCTAAAGGGAAAAAAAGGAAAGAGAAAAAAAATATGCTTCAATCAGCGCTCTGAGTCCATCAGTTCTCTTTCTAGAGGTGAATAGCATATACCATCATGACCTTTGGAATTGTGGTAGATCAATGTATTGATCAATTACTAAGTCTTTCACAACTGATTATCTTTACAATGTTACTGTTTCTGTGTACATTGTTCTCCTGGTTCTGCTCACTTCACTTCGCATCAGTTTATATACTTCCTCCTAGGTTTTTTAGAAACCATCCCCTTTGTAATTTCTTATAGCACAATAGTATTCGATCACATTCATATCCCGTAACTTGTTCAGCCATTCCTCAATTGATGAGCACCTGTTTCCAATTCTTCTCCATCACAGAAAGAGCCAGCAGGTGGGATTTTAACTGAGCCTAGAAGGAAACCAGGGAAGTCAGGAGTTATGGGGGATGGCCTGGGAAAATGGACAGGAATTAAAGGATGAAAGGACAGTGTCACTAGACTGAAGACTATATGGAGGAGTGGAAGATGTAGGAAGACTGGAAAAGGAGGACAATTTATGAAGCTCTTTTAAAGCCAAACAGAGGATGTTATATTTGATCCTGGAGAAAATTATGAGCCACTGGAGTTTCTGGTTATGCTGTTTCTATGGACTCTAGAACATTCAGAAACCCCCAAATATGGGTTCCCAACACCATGATGTAAATGTCACCACATCACAACCACAGTCACTGTGGACATGTTGTTTTCTACTCAGTAAAATGTCAACTCCATCATATAGATTGGCAGAATGTATTAGAACTACCCTAAAATTGAATGAGCTGCCTGGGGGCATTGACAGGTGGGCTGCCCTCACTACAGGTCTTCAGATAGAGAGGGCAGATGACCCCTTGTCAAGCACAGGGATTCTTTTGAAGCATTGGTTAGTCTATAGAGTAACCCAAGTACCTTCCCTTCCTTTAAATTCTGTTATTGTGTGAAACAGTAATCTGGTGGCCTCATTACCCTCAAATATATTCACACAGGTGTGAGTTTCTTCAAGAATATTTCCCCCTTAATCATCAGTTTTCTTGCCAGCTCAGTCTTACCACTTTTTTGTTTTCTTCTGTTTTAGTGGAAGTCCCGGTTTCCACCTCTCTTCTGGTGAATAGCTAGGTGTTAAAATAAAATTCACATTCAACTGTTTTGGTAGCAACCAAATTCTCAAGTCAGAGAATTTTTGAGAGCTGGAAATGACTTGGGTGGCCATTACTACATGTCTTGGTCAAAGTCACGGGGGTAGAAACAAAAAGTGTCCTGATTTGAATCTACCCGTTGAAAATATATTCTGTTCCATTCCTGCTTTACTACAGAATAGCCTTCCACCAAACATCTTTTCTGACAATTCTCTAGGGCAGGTCATCCTTGATGTCATGCTACAGGCATGCTTACACCCATCAAGTAGCTAACATGGCCCTCATTTTAAAGATAAGCAACGGGGAACTCCCTGTCCAAGGTCACACATGTCTAAGTGGTAGAACCTTGGTCTTCTCATCTTACTGCTACGGTGGGCAGCTTCTGCTCATTCAGACAGGGCAGATCCTCTATGTCCTAGAGTCTCAGAGGAGAGATGCGCCAATTCTGGGCCGTGGGCCACATCAGGAAGGATCAAAGGAGGTGGAGAGGGGGGTAAGGAGGGGGAGATGTACTTGGACCGACAGGTTCGAGATGATTTAGTTTCCTAACACTCCCAAACCTCCGGTCGCACTGTACCCCCTCCCCACCACATGCGGGCAGGGGAAGAGATAATTTGTAGAATATTTAGTCTAGCTTCCGATAGGAGGGGAGGGCAAGGCGGAGGAAGAGAGGGGAGCGTCCCTGGGCTCTGAGTCTAACTCTCCGGGCGGGTCTGTAACTTGCACCTCCCCTGGAAGGCAGAACTGTCCCGCCCCCTCTAGTTGCCTGCTGTTTCTGCCCCAGGCTGCAGCTTTCGCTTTCTGTCCAAGGAGTGGAGCAGGGCGGCTCTCCTGGCCCAGACAGTTGTGGAAGCCGCCTCCCTGACGGGCAGTGCTCCGCCCCGTTCCACTCCGAGATGGAGCTCGCCACCGCCGCCTGGATTACTTTCGCCGTCGGACTTCAGCTGTGGGCATTGGGGGACGCGGTGCCCGTCCAGGTGGGTTGCACTTCATCCCTGGCTTCTGCCGCGCCTTTTCCTTCTCTTCCCTTCATAAGGATAGATAGAAACCCTGCACCCCTCCAAGTCAGCCCTGCACCCCCTCCCACTCAGTCCTGCTCTCCTCTCTACTTCTCTGTAGAGGTAAGGGCCCTGGATCTGAGGTTAGGGAACCTGAGCTGAATATGAGCTCTGCTGTTTACGAGCTGAGCGTTCTTAGACGAGTTACGTAACCTCTCTGGGCTTTCCTCTCTCACTTTCCTCATCTAAGATGATGGGGTTAGATTTGATGGCTTTTTAGCTCCATACTGGCGCTCCCAGGCGGGAGCCTCTGGGGGGAGTTTAGCACCCCTCGAAGCTCTTCCCAATTGCGTCCGCTTCGATGCGGCTCCCGGGCACGTGCGTCTGGATCTCCCGCTGGACGCTGATTGTAGATCAGCCTACCCCCACCCGGGAGGTCGTCGTGGGGCTCAACTGCGGGGCCGGAAAATCGGGTCTGGCTGGGCCGGGGGCGCCCCGGGACAGTGCGGTCTCAGCGTGACCGTGGGGACTAAGCGAGCATTGGAATATACGCCCTCCGAAGCTCTGTACTGGAGTCCGGAAAGGGTGGGTTTGGATTTCTGCGCGGACGCTCGTGCGCCCAGTGCTGACGGACAAATCCTTAATCTTTCTGGGCCTTCGTTCCCTTTCTATAAAATAAGGCTGACTGACGATAGTGAGAACAATTCATGTACTCCCTCCCGCCCAAGATTGTTTGGAGGGAAGTTTGGCAAATTTTGAAAAGCCTCATAAAAACGGGAGTTGAGGCAGGCAAATGCTCTCCAAGGTCCAAGATCTGTCTGCCCACAGGGTTGAAAGTCTCCGGGACGTTGGTTGGCCTTGCAGAGTAACCTTCGTCGGCTGCACCCAGGGACTAGGGGGCCCCCAGAGCTGAAATGCCTGGCAAGTCCTTTTCATTCTGCCCCCTCTTCTCCCCCGACTCCCTCCCAAGTCCCTAAGGTTGGCCTGGATTTCGAGGGTTATGTTTTCTCCAGCTGCCCGCGGCTCCCCGGTGGTTTCTTTTTGACTGAGGGGAGACAGCCCCTTTCATCTCGCATCTGTTCCGGGGTGATCCGCACATCACAGATCACACCTGGTGCCATCAAAGCCCGGCTGTCTTTGCTCTTCAAGACATGTATTTCCTTTGCCCTACATGAATATTCTTCCTCTTTCTTAGAATACCTGATTATTGTGTGTTTATAAGACGGGAGAGAGATCGATAGACCGAGACAGAGAGAGACAAAAAGAGACTGAGAGCGAGAGTCAGAAAGACCGGGAGAGAGATAAAAACAGACAGATACAGAAACATACACGGAAACAGACTCGGACCGAACCCGAGAGAGATTGAGATAAGAGAGACCGAGAGAGATAAGAAAGGCTGAGACTGGGAGGGAGGGAAAGGAAGAAACTGACAGATAAGAATTTTCGGCCCTGAGAAACGCATACATATTTTGTTCTCTTGGGTCCTTATTCTTAATCTTAGAATTGTTCATTGTCAGAACTGGGAGGGCCCTTAGAACACAGTAATAATAATAATAATAATAATAATAATAATGATAAGAAGCAGCTATGTAGCCTTTTAAGGTTTGCAAAACCCATTATATATATGTTATCTCTAAGATTATTAATGATCTGTTAGTTGTCAAATCCAAAGGCCTTTTCTCAATTTCCATTCTCCTTGACCTCTCAGCAGCCTTTGACATTGTTAATCACTATCTCCTCCTTGACACTTCCTTCTGTCTAGGTTTTTGGGACACCTCTCTCTCCTGGCTCTGCTCCTGCTGTGTCTCCTTTGCTTCATGTCCTCCAGATTATGCCCTCTGATGGTGTCCCTCAGGGTTCTTTCCCTCTTCTCTTCTCAGTTTATACTATTTCATTTGGTGATCTCATCAGTTAACTTGGATCTGTCTTTGTCTCTGTCTCTGTCTCTCTCTGCTGATGATTCTCAACTCTACCTATCCTGTCCCAATCTCTCTGCTGATTCCCGCTATTGCATCTCCAAATGCCTTTCACACATCTCTAACAGGATTGTCCAGTAGACATCTTAAACTCAGTATGTCCAAAACAGAACTCATTATCTTCCTCCCTAAACCATCCCCCCTCTCATGTTCCCTATTACTGTAGAGGACACCACCATCCTCCCAGTCCCTCAGGCTCGAAACCTAGGAGTAATCCTGGATTTCTTGCCATCTCTCATCCCCCCTATCCACAATCTGTTGCCAAGGCCTGTTGATGTCACTTCTGCAACATCTCCCAAATTTGACCGTCCTCTTCTCTGACACTGTCCCCACCCTGATGTTGACCCTCATCACCTCATGCCTGGATTATTGCAATAGCCTGCTGGGTCTGTCTGCCTCAAGTCTCTCTCCGCTCCAATCCATCCTCCATTCAACCACTGAAGTGATTTTTCTAAAATGCAGGCTCAATCATGTCACACGCACCCATCCCCCCAGTAAACTTTAGTGACTCCCTATAGCATCCAGGAGCCAATGCAGAATGCTCTGTTTGGCATTCAAAGCTCTTCCTAACCTAGCCCTCCCTGACTCCCCACGGCGTTCTTTTTGATCCAGTGACATTGTTCTCCTGGCTGTTGCATGAACAAGACAATACATTTGGATAACTGGACGTTTTCTCTTGCTGTCTGCCATACCGGAAATACTCTCCCTCCTCCATTTCGACTACTGACTCCCTGGCTTCCTTCAGGTCCTAGCTGAAATCCCACCTTCTGCAGAAAGCCTTCCCTAACTCCTTTTAATTCCAGTGCCCTCCCTCTGTTAATTATCTCCTTTTTATCCTGTTTATAACTTACTTTGTATATATTTGTTTGCATACTGTCTCCTCCATTAGAATGTAAGCTTCCTGAGGGCAGGGGCTGTCTTTTGCTTCTTTTTGTATCCCCAGTGCTTAGCACAGTGTCTGGCACATAGTAGGTGCTTAATAAATGTTTGTTAGTTGGTCTCATTTGATCTTCACAACAACTCTTGTGAGGTAGGTGCTGTAATTATCCCCATTTTACTGAAGATTAAACTGAGGATGATCGAGGTTAAGTGACTTGCCCAGGGTCACCTAGTAAGTGATTGAGGCAGTCTTCCTGGCTCCAAATCTAGCAGTCTAACCACTAGGCTACCCAGCTGCCTAGGCCATGGATTGTCTGAGGCAGAAGGGACCTCTGAATACAGAATATTGGATCTGGAAGGGACCATAGGGCAAAAGATCAGAACTGGAAGGAACACCAGGAATTATATAAAAACATTTATTAAGCACCTACTATGTGCTATAGCAGCCTATATATAAAAACATTTGTGAAGCACCTACTATGTGCTATGGCAGACCTGCACAGCTTGGCAGTAGGTAGGGGCCAAAATTAAAATAGGCTAAACTTCTTCGGGCTGCAGAGAGGTTTTTAGGGGCTCACTTTCCAAGTAAAGGTATAATTAATAATTAAACTATTTTGCAAATAAATCATTGAAAAAAGGGGAAATTTCAATTAATATCAATTAATAACACTTAATACTTGAGATTTTTATTTATCATGAAATCACTCCTCTCAGACTAGAGACAGACTGACAATGGTTGGTTGCCGTGGGTCACACGACAAACAGAGAGTGTGCAGTGGCAACCCACCCGCCAAGTTACATGAAGGACACAATAGTGACTAGTGGAAGGCAAGTTTAAACAGGGCACGGGCAACACACTCATTACATCTTTATTTTCTTTTACATCCTCTACATTTTTTGCAGGCTGCCTGAAATCCTTTGGTGGTCCACAAGCTGCCCAAAGGCTGTATGCTGGGCAGCCCTGTGCTAGGAGCTTTACAAATACTATCTCATTTGATCCTCACAATAACCCTGGGAGGTTATTATAGCCATTCTACAGTCAAGGAAACTGAGGCAGATAGAGGTGAAGTAACTTATGCAGGGTGACACAGCTAATGAGTAGCTGAGGCTGGATCTGAACTCAAGTCTTCCTGACTCTAGGCCCAGCGCTCTATCCACTGAGCCACCTCGCTGTCTCGGTCTTTTTAGATTTATGTCTTTTGTCTCGTGTGTGTGTGTGTGTGTGTGTGTGTGTGTGTGTGTGTGTGTGCGCGTGTGTGTTTTACACTATGAGGCCCCTGGTTTGTAACTCTGAATGGAAGCCAACACAGAATGGTCAGACAATGAATCGAGCTTTTGCGGCAGTGCTGGTGATAGGGAACACCGATGAAATGAGCTTGACTGGCCACAGGACCTCGCAGGCCACAAGAACCACAGAGGTCACTGTAGGACCACAGCTGGAGTCCAAAGTTCAGTCTGGGGTGCTACATTTTTGGAAGAATGTTGATAAACTGCAGAGCATCCCCAAGGGGACCACCAGGATTGTCAAGAGCCTAAGAGAGGAAGCTCTTGGTTTAAGGAAGTGGAGGTGTTGACTTTGGAGAAGAGACTTGGGTGGGGCCAAGATAGTTGGGGAAATAGATTTATTCTTCCTGGCCCCACAGTACAGAAATGAGAGCACTAGGTGGAAGCTGTAGGAGGCAAATTAAGGCTTGACATCAGAGGAAAAAAATGTTCCTAACAATAGGAACGGTCCCAATGTGGAAATGGGCTATCTCTAGAGGCGCTGGGTTTGTTCTCACTGGCTGGAAGACGGTGGGTTGGCAGTAGAAGCTCTAATATTGGAACTCTTGCTCTTTTCAGGCTTCATGGTTTGCAGAATATTTTGCATACATTTTCTTGTCTGATCCTTACAACATCCCTGTGCCGTAGAGGCTATTATTTATCATACCCATTTTATATATGGCAAACTAAGGTTGAGAGGCTAAGTGTCTTGCTTAGGGTCATACAGTTAGTGTCTGGGGTAGGATTCACACCCAAGTCTTCCTGACTCCCTAGGCTAGTACTTTATTACATCTTGCTGATGCTCAGATACAGGTAGGACTAGCTGTAGAATGGAAGCTTCTTGAGGGCAGGGACTATTTT